TTTTTCGACAGTCGGTGACGGGCGGAAGTTACAGACGCAGTGGCGCAGAGCCGAGCTTTTGTGGATCCTTGGATCTGTCGCTGCGATTCGGCCCGGACTGCCGCCGCTGACCTTTCGAAAAGTCTTGCAATGGACGCTGCGCTTGTGCGCCTTCCTTCCAACGACTCATGCCTTGAAGTTTTGCCAGTTTGGATCGGGTGGCGCTGGTATGTCACTCAGAGTTTTGCACGCGTAACAATGCCACGCGTTCAGAACTGTGGATGAATTTAGGTTTTCCTATACGAGAGAGATCAACGAGGATGCAGTTCTGTTCTTCTAACCTTTTCAAGTTCACAGACGTTCTTTGCAGGATGTTTGTTTTTCCCGAAAGCATTGCGAAGGGTTCTTCCGGAAAATCCCTTGAACACTGACACTTCGACACTTACACTTACACACTGACACTTCCACACTTGCACTTGAACACTGACATTTCGACACGTACACTTGAACACTTGCGCTTTCACACTTACACTTGAACATGAACGCATGAACATGAACACTTACACGTCTATACGTACCCCAGTGTAAGTGGAAGGGTGAAAGCGTCCAACGGCAAGTATGCAAGTGCAATGAGTATGCAAGTGTGAGTACGGAAAAGTTGCACGGGAGATGTCCTAATGAAAAACATTTCGCCGCTTTATCAATTCTCTCTTAAAGGCGGAGGGTGGGACGAACAGCGTCAACCCAAAATGCAACCCTCTGCGGAGATCGTGCGTGTCGAGTGCGCGAAATGCAGGCGAGAGTGCGATCTGTCCGGTGTGCGCGCAACCCTCTGCGGAGATCGTGCGTGTCGAGTGCGCGAAAGCAGGCGAGAGTACGATTTGTCCGGTGTGCGCGCAACCCTCTGCGGAGATCGTGCGTGTCGAGTGCGCGAAATACAGGCGGATTTGTCCCGTTCCCGCGCAACCCTCTGCGGAGATCGTGCGTGTCGAGTGCGCGAAATGCAGGTGAGAGCACGATTTGTCCCATGTGCGCGCAACCCTCTGCGGAGATCGTGCGTGTCGAGTGCGCGAAATGCAGGCGAGAGTGCGACCCTTCCTGCCCGCGCGCAACCCTCTGCGGAGTCGAGTGCGCGAAACGCAGGCATTGGCGACTTTCTAGTACGTCTTTAGTACGCGGAGAATCTGGGGAGCGGGAAGATGAGAACTGGCGACTTTGTAGTACAACTTTAGTAGGCGGAGCAATCTGTGGAGCTGGAAGCTGAGAACTACAACTTTAGTACGCGGAGTACCTGGAGAGCTGGAAGATGAGAACTGGCGACTTTGTACCCACGCACTACCTCAACTCACTGGACTTAAACCCTTCACACTGAACGCTTAACAGATAACTCACACTCTGACTTCCTACGTGGTGAAAAATGCTTTCGGGCCACTCGTCGTCTAGTGAAAATTCTCTGTGTCTGTTCGAGACCTCTTTCATGCAGGTCCTTTGCGCGACATGCGCGGGGACACCTTGTAGCCGCCTTACGCAGGACTGCAAGCAAGCGTTGCCACCCACGCCCAGGTCTGATTTTTCCCTTCAGAAACGCGCAGAGCTCCAAGGCCAGGGTGATGGAAGGGGGATCAAAGGACAAGCTACGCCCCTTCACCCCCGTAGACTCTTAACGCCGCACAGCTTGCCACACAGCTTGCGCTGTTGTTTGCAGAGAAGTTGTTTGCTTTTCCCGCTTGGGGCGGGGTAGTTCCAGTTCGCAATAAACAACAGTGTATTTTATAATTTGCGAAAAACTACTCCGCCTGATCTGTAGTGTAAATACCAATGTTTTCCACATGTTCTACTCCACACTTGCCCTACTCCATAGTTACTCCGCAATGTTTTCTAGGGGGAAACACGCCAACTGCGTCCTGGGGAAACTACTCCGCCCGTATCGTAGTGAGTGATGGTGCTTAGACACCGCGGAAGCGTTTGACGGTTCGAGAAATGGCAGCATCTCTCATTCAGTTGGCCAAGCGAGCTCTTGGCTTCAGGCAGCGCAAGCAATGGCTTCAGGCCGGTCGACCTGGTGCTTGGTACCTTCGCCAGCATGATTCTGACAATGTCTTTGGTAAGGAAGTTTTCAGTCTGGTTTGCAGCTGACAGGCTGGGAGACAGACGTTGTAAGTGCCACGAGGCTTGGAACTTCGAAAGTGAATTTTCAAGCGTGTTTGGATTGCAAATGTCTTGCGCTTCAGGAATGTGTGATGTATAGTCTAGCCTAGCCGTCAGTCGCAGCTACAAGCCATTTGCTCCAGCTGCAGTGTTGTCCCGGAGTGAAAGAGACACGGACCCAGTGCCATGCCTCCAAAGCGGAATGCCCAGCAGGATGTCAGGGAGCCCAAGGAAACAATGTGACCTGGGCGAAGCCAGTTTCGGGGTTGAAAGTGGCTAGGGAAAATGGACCTAGAAGGTAGGGCCTCCCCAGTCTGCGTTTGTGATTCGTTAGACCTTCGATCTCCATTGCTGTTGTCGTATCTGTGCATCCCTTGGGTTAGTTGTCATGTTGTCGCAGCTGTATTGTCGATACTCCTTGACGAGTTGGTTCACCACTTCCAACTCTTATATAGATCTTTGTACTTCTGGTCAGACCATAGCGCGAAGAAACTTGTGTCAGGCAATCAATGTAATCCCTTTCCCGAGTATTTGGCTTGAGATATTTGATGCGAGCCTGGGAGGCAGGCTTACGGAGAGGTCCATGTTGTGAGCTCATTTCACCGATGTCCTTGGAAAGGGCTCGTGCAGAGCTTGATGACGTGCGGGCTCGGCTGCGGGCAATACAGAAACGGCTCTTGAGGCGGAAGGGAGAGGTGAACCCAGACCGCAAGTGGCGATCGTCGCCGGCTAGCCCTTGTTGCCTTGTTTTGCTCGTTTACACCAGGGGCAACGCAGAAGTTGTTGCCAACTTTGCACAAGGTCTGGGTTGGCGGCGGGCTCCACGTGTTGCTGCTTTGACCACAGAAGACCGGAGCAAGCTGTTGGCAGACCTCGAGTCGCAGTTTGACAGTGTACCTTTGGCTTCGATAGCAGCTGTTCAGGAAGACCCCGTAAGGGCGGGTGTCTGCAGCGAAGGTGAGGCTATCAGTGTCATCAGGTGGCTGGTGGAACATTCGCTCTTCGGTTGGGTTCAGGAGCAAAACTCTTTGCGTGGAGTTGCTCCGTCCCGGAGGCAGTTAGTGGACAAAGCCTTGTCCGCCATCCCTGTCATTGCGCCAGAGAGGCTGCAGCAAAGAGTTCGCTCAAGTCTATCTGGCAGTTTGCGCAGCCAGCGGAAGTGGTTGGCTAAGTTCCGGTTGCGATGGGGTTTGCGCTTGGGGAAGCTTCGTATCCAGAATCACCTGTCAGTGAGTGACAAGCAAGCCAAGGAAACACGAGGGGAAAAACGAGCATGTTTTTGGTGTTGTTTGGCAAGGCCAAAAACGGCATCGTTTTCATCCAAATAGAAGCAAAGGTGTAAATCAGCGCAAAGGAGTTGCAACCCCATTTTTGGCTTTGTTTGCCGCTCCTGTTTTTGACCTCGCCTACCTTGCTAGGCGTTGGCTTATTTTCAATGGATCAACGCAGCATCTGCAGCGGCTCCGGCTTGTCAACCACCCTTACTGATTAACATGGACGAGACCTCCCTCGTCAGGCATGTCAGTGGTCTCATTGGCACAGTTGTCAAAAATCCGAGCAACGGGTGTCAGCTGGGCGAGGTGGCTCCTCTGTGCGACAGGCGCAGCTACATCACATATTTGGCAACTATTACGCATGATTCGGAAGTGCAGCCCAGGCTTCCGCAGGTATTGATTGGGAATGAGCGTCAGTTCACTGCCACCATCATGAACAGCGTGGATTTTTTACCCAGCAATGTGTACCTGTGGAGATGCAAGTCTGCGTGGAATAGTCACATGTTGATGCGGAGGTATTTGTCTCTGTTAGCTTCGTCCCTAGGTAGCGTCCTAAAGGAGCGATATGTGATTTTGATCTTGGACGTGGCTCGGTGTCACTTGCATCCGACAATTCTGGCTCACGCCAAACGGTGTGGAATCCGGCTGTGCTTCATTCCCGCTTTGATGACTGCAGAGCTGCAGCCGTGCGACACTCATTTGTTTGCGCGCTTCAAAGCAACCTTTCGGGAACATTGGCGCCGACAGAAAGCACTTTCCATTGCAGGGTCGTTGAGTACGTTTCAATGGCTTGAAGTTGTGGTTTCAAGTCTCCAAGCAGTGTTACCCGCCGATTGGGATGCCGCGTTTGCAGCGAGTGGGGCATTGGCTGAGCAGACCCGTGTGGCTGACGTGCTGTGCGCGAAGTTGGGTTGGGCTAGCGCGCCTCTGGTGCCGGAAGGTTTGCCAACTGTTGAAACTGCGTCCTTGGTTTTTCCGAAGAAGATGAAGGTGAATGTTCAAGCGTATGTTTCTTGGGGATGCCACGTCCCTCTCCAGATGAAAGCGTGTGATTATTCCAGACGTAGACGGCCATTGCCTCCAACTTTCATAGGCACAGTAGATCATCCTCTCACAATCGACTAGCTAGCTGCGTGTGTGGCAGCTGCAACTGAGGAGGCCCACCCTGTGGGGTCCGGAAAACGAAGCTGTTTCCGCAGCCAAAAGTGATGTCGCTGCAGGTGTCGTTTTGTTTTAGATAGTGGTAGCTACGGGTCCTTTGTTCGAACAAGAATGGGCTGGGTGTGCGCGCTGACAGGGTGTCGGTGCTGTGCGCTGGGGCTGGTGGCTGTGAGCTGGCTGCGTGCGCTGTTAACTTGGAGCCTGGTGCTAGTGCTGCTGCAGAGTGCTGCCGGATGAGTGGCCGCGTGCGCTTTGGAGATTCCACTAAGGGTGCCGCTATGGTGCTGCTCACAAATATCTTTGCTATCCAGGCTTAATTGCAGCCTTTCAGTCAAGCAGCCAGCTGGTTAAGGCTGATCAAAGCCCAAAGCACTCTTTGAATCGTTCTCTCTTCTTCTGTCCTCGTTTGCATTTTTTGGCGGTGAGGCGTTGCTCCATCAAGAGATGGAAGCCTTGAAGCGGCGCCGGGTTGAGCTGAAACGTGAATGCAAACGCGCGGCCAAAGACCAGAAACTGCTTGCTGCCAAGAGGCAGCGGCTTCTGAAGGCGCACGCTGGGTGTTGTGATCTTACTCTGCTTGCGCAAAACGATCAAGCTTGGCAGGCTGCTAAAGGCCTTTCTGCCGCTGACTTGCAGCTGCTCCTGAACCGCGCTGAAGGTGACAGGCCAACCACGTGTAAGGCCAACCTTGTCATGCAGAGTCTGTTGCAGGTGGTGCTGGCGCCGCCCTTAGTTTCGCCAATGTGTCTTGGAGATTGCGTGACCGTTGATGCGCCCACTGCAGCGACATGTACTTGGCCCCGTCTCTGTGACGACGTGTTTTCCTTGTGGATTGCTGACTAAAGAATTCACCAAAAGCGGATTCAGCTGCTTTGGCAGGTGCCGGTGGAGGCGGTGGTGCTGCAGGCAAGCCATGTTTTGCAATGTCACGAAAGCCAGATAGATAGGCTATAGGCTGGAGTTGGGTTGCGCGAACGAAGTGAGCAAAGGGGGTAACGAAGAAAAGTATTTGCAGTTTGGGGGTGTTTTGATGCAGGTGATGTAATTGACAGCCATTAGTGCATCAAAAGGTGTAGCGGGGGAGGATGTGATAGGAAAAGAGGTGGGGAGCTCACCAGGGATCTTGCACTCACCCCCCTTCGCCCCCTCCCTCAACACGTTTTCACATGTGTTTTGAATTTTTGCACGCCGTCGCAATGCTTTCACTATTTGAAAGAAAATTGGACATTGGAAGTGTTTTCTCTGCGTTTTCCAAATTTGAGAGCAGCCCAAAAATACATTTGCCCAGGTGGTGGCCCGGTTGGTCCAGCTGGTGGCGCCGAGCTTTGTATGCTACCGACGAACGTCAGACAGAAGCGCGCCAGTGCCAGAGTTGTGCCAGACACTTGTGTCAAAGGTGGTGGAGCTGGAGGCGCGAGCTGCTAACTCAAGAGTCTGTGACCTAACCCGTGAGAGTACCTCTGTTTTCAATTTGATGGAGGACCAGAAACCATGTACATAGCAGACACGGTGCATTGCTGTATACAGGCGGTGGTGCCGCGCCGGGTGAACCGGGTGAATGAGGACGCGCGGGGTCCACTTTGACATGTGTCTGCCATTTTGGGGACATGACTTGTAAACGTAAAGATGCCATCGTTGCGTATGGGCGCTACCCCGTAGGAGCAAGATCTTACGCGCTGTGAGAAGTGTCTGTATGCGGCGTGACCTAAGTGTTTTTCGACAGTCGGTGACGGGCGGAAGTTACAGACGCAGTGGCGCAGAGCCGAGCTTTTGTGGATCCTTGGATCTGTCGCTGCGATTCGGCCCGGACTGCCGCCGCTGACCTTTCGAAAAGTCTTGCAATGGACGCTGCGCTTGTGCGCCTTCCTTCCAACGACTCATGCCTTGAAGTTTTGCCAGTTTGGATCGGGTGGCGCTGGTATGTCACTCAGAGTTTTGCACGCGTAACAATGCCACGCGTTCAGAACTGTGGATGAATTTAGGTTTTCCTATACGAGAGAGATCAACGAGGATGCAGTTCTGTTCTTCTAACCTTTTCAAGTTCACAGACGTTCTTTGCAGGATGTTTGTTTTTCCCGAAAGCATTGCGAAGGGTTCTTCCGGAAAATCCCTTGAACACTGACACTTCGACACTTACACTTACACACTGACACTTCCACACTTGCACTTGAACACTGACATTTCGACACGTACACTTGAACACTTGCGCTTTCACACTTACACTTGAACATGAACGCATGAACATGAACACTTACACGTCTATACGTACCCCAGTGTAAGTGGAAGGGTGAAAGCGTCCAACGGCAAGTATGCAAGTGCAATGAGTATGCAAGTGTGAGTACGGAAAAGTTGCACGGGAGATGTCCTAATGAAAAACATTTCGCCGCTTTATCAATTCTCTCTTAAAGGCGGAGGGTGGGACGAACAGCGTCAACCCAAAATGCAACCCTCTGCGGAGATCGTGCGTGTCGAGTGCGCGAAATGCAGGCGAGAGTGCGATCTGTCCGGTGTGCGCGCAACCCTCTGCGGAGATCGTGCGTGTCGAGTGCGCGAAAGCAGGCGAGAGTACGATTTGTCCGGTGTGCGCGCAACCCTCTGCGGAGATCGTGCGTGTCGAGTGCGCGAAATACAGGCGGATTTGTCCCGTTCCCGCGCAACCCTCTGCGGAGATCGTGCGTGTCGAGTGCGCGAAATGCAGGTGAGAGC